CTGAGTTTTACAAAACCCACAAATAATTGCCCCCCCCCCCAATGGAATGAAACACCCTATTTTCCCATTTCCTACTACCTACATGAAAACTAACAAGAACAAAAAAAGGGCTGCCGCTTTTTTTCCGCACGGAGCTTTGCCGGAAAAAAACGCCAGTCTAGACGCAGATCTTCGGAAAATAAAGCCTTTTCCAAAAGATCCCTTATTCCTTATTTTAAGAGAAATAAGGAATCTTTCAGAAAAGGCTTTATTTTCCGCAGGATCAGCCTTTTCTGAAAGATCCCTTGAAATAAGGGATAAGGGATCTTTCGGAAAAGGCTTTATTTTCCGCAAGATCAGCGTCTAGACTGGCGCTTTTTTCCGGCAAAGCTCCGTGCAGAAAAAAAGCGGCAGCCATTTTAATGCTAATGAAGCGGGGGAGATTTAAATCCCCGCTTCATTAGCAATTGCGATACGTCTAATTTACATCCCTTTTCCGAAAAAGGGATGTAGTCTAGACATAGCCATAGACTTTAAGGTCAGAAGGGACCATTATGATCATCTAGTCTAACCCCCTACACAATGCAGGCCAGAGAATCTCACCCCCACTCCTGGAATAATCCTCCCACCTATATCTCAGATATTGAAGTCCTCAAATGATGGTTTGAAGACCCCACAATGCAGAGAATCCACCAGCAAGTGATCAGTGCCCCATGCTACAGAGGAAGGCGAAAAACCTCCAGACAATCTACCCTGGAGAAAAATTCCTTCTGGACCCCAAATATGGCTATCAGCTGAAGCCTGAACATGTGGGCAAGACTCACCAGCCAAACACCTAGGAAAAAGTTCTCTACAGTAACTCCTATCATCCCATCATTGACCTATTTACCACCGATAGTGAAAGATCAATTAGTTGCCAAGATCATGCTATCCCATCAGACCATCCCCTTCATAAACACATCTAGTTTAATCTTGAAGCCAGATAGGTCTTTTGCACCTACTACTTCCTTTGGAAGGCTGTTCCAGAACTTCACTCCTCTAATGGTTAGAAACCTTTGTCTAATTTCGAGTCTAAACTTCCTGATAGCCAGTTTATATCCATTTGTTCTTGTGTCCACATTGATATTGAGCTTAAATAATTCCTCCCCCTCCCTGGTATTTATCCCTCTAATACATTTCAAGAGAGCAATCATGTCTCCCCTCAGCCCTCTTTTGGTTAAGGTAAAAAGCCAAGCTCCTTGAGTCTCCTTTCATAAGACAGGTTTTCCATTCCTTGGATCATCCTAGTGGTCCTTCTTTGTACCTGATCCAGTCTGAATTCATCATTCTCTCATTGACTCCAGTACTCCACCAGAATGAGAAGTGAAAGAGAAGCTGATGAGTGTTTGTTTTGTCAATCCTCCGCTATGGAGACCCTCTGGTAACTCGACTTAAGGATGTCAACTCCAGCTATGGGATGCATGTTGCTGGAACTGCATAAATTAGATCGATTTTACCCTGTAGTGTAGATCTGCCATGAGATGTTGTGTGATCAATGTGATCAGCTCTGATGTTCACCTACTCTCATATTTTCCTGTGTTAAGTTAATTTTTCCATGTTAAATCATAAATGCTCTTATGTTTACTAGAAAGCAGAGCTGATCATTCTCATTGAAAACCATGCTTTACTTCCAGAAATCTTGACAGCATTGCTTTAACCGGTCGCTTCAGCACTGAGTTAACCAGCATGAATCTTATTGTTAGAGTAAAACACCATGGGCAGTGGGTGAAAGTAGGGCTGGAGGAGGCAAGCCCCTAACCCTGCTCCTTCTGCCCAGGCCCCACTCCCCACGGGAGCCAAGCCGCACCCCTCCCCCCCTCCAGCATCACAAGGAGGTGGGCAGTGCATGGTCCTAACCTCCCCAGCCCTGGAGCATGGGGAGGGTGGGCGGCGTGTAAGGAGAGAGGAGGGCAAGCAGCCCAGCCTCCCTGTCCCCGGAGCACAGGGAGGGAGGAGGGTGGGCGGCGCGCAGCCCCAGCCTCTCCAGCCCCAGAGCAGCACTCCACTCCCAGTACGCCTACAGCAAGTGTTGCGTGGGTGGGGTTTGGGAAGGCAATGCCTTTCCCTGGCTAGTATACCCACCACTCATGTAAAACCCAATGTAACAGCTAGTATCACTAAGTTAATATTATTTGATCAATAGGAGCAAAATCTGCAACTACCATCAATCAGTCTTCTCAGTTACTAACATTACAAGACCATAAGAGGTTTTCTCTTTTTGATAATTAATGTGTCAATTACAGTGATTGCACAAGAAAACTTCCTTCTATTTAAAAAAATTATACCAGTTTGAAAGGTATTCTATATATCTAAGATAGAGAATAGTACAAGCACACATTTAATGGGTTAAAACTCTGCTGAGTGGTCTCAAAATATAACTGTAAATGAGAGATCATCAAGTGGGTATGTTTTCATTGGAGTCCCACAGAGATCAGTTCTTGGGCCTACGCTGCTTAATATTTTTATCAGTGACCTGGAAGAAAACACAATCATCACTGAAAATTTGCAGATGAGACAAAAACTGGGGGAGTGGTTGATAATGACTGTGAGCAATTAAAATTTTGATAAACTGGACATAAACAAACAATATGCATTTTAATACGGATAACTGTAAATGGATGCATTTAGGAACAGAGAATGTAAGCCATACTTATAGGATGGGTGGGAGACTATCCTGGAAAGCAGAGATTCTGGCTATTCTACACTACACTTGTTTTTCGGAAAAAGTTACGCAAATTGCACTTCACAATTTGCGTGGAGGGATCTTTCGGAAAAGGCCAAATTTTGGAAAAATCTCCTTTTTCTGCAGAGCCTTTTTTCCTTGAGAAACAAGGAAGACAAGGCTTCAGAAAGAGCGCATCTGCTCTTCCACAAAAAATTTCAGAAGAGCAGACGCATTCCCTGGACACGTTCCCTGGACGCGGTGGAGTTTTTCTGGGATACCAACTCCGTAAAATAGACATAGCCACTGAAAAAAATTGGGGATTGTGGTGAATAATCAGCTGAATGTGAAGTCTTAGTATTAGATATGAAAAAGCTCACATTCTATGACAACTGAACACATATATGACTATGTCTATACTGGCAGCATCTTGAGCAAGAACTCTTTTGTGGAAGAGTTCTTGTGCAAAAACTCTTCCTCAAGAGAGCATCTACACTGGCATGTGCTTTTGCACAAGAGATGTGCTTTTGTGCAAGAGCATCCATGGCAGTGCAGTTGCCCTCTTGCGCAAGAAAGCTCTAATGTCCATTTTAACCATAGGGGCTTCTTGCGCAAGAAATTCATGTTGCCTGTCTACACTGGCCTCTTCCGGAAGAGTTCTTGCGCAAGAAGGCTTCTTCCTGAGAGGGAGCGTCAGAGTTCTTGAGCAAGGAGCCCTGATTTTCTACAGTACAATGTCAGTTTACTTGCGCAAGAACGGTTTACTTGTGGCCAGTGTAGACAGGTGGCATGTTTTTGCACAAGAGCGGCCATTTTTGTGCAAGAATGTGCCAGTGTAGACACAGCCATAGTGTATTAAAGAGAAAAATAGCGTTAGTGTTGCCTCGTTAATAGAATGTTAAAGGTGATTTTATGGCCACCAATTTCTCCTGAATTGTCACAAGCTTCCTGTTCCCCTTGCTTTTCCACGCTATAAAGAGACGCATGACATAGCCCTCTTCCCTAACCATATTTGCAAATGGGATGGGATGCGATGGGATACTTGGAAACCTAATTAAAATATCATTCTTGACATAGACTTTATAAAAATAATATTTATACCTACTATAACCTATTATGCCTCAACTCTGCTGTATTGCCTTATCTTTGTATTGCACAAATTCTTTCAATACTTATGAACGAAAATACTTATGAAAGAAAATAATTCGTGCTGTCAAAATTATGTTCATTTTCAATAAATAGTAAAAAAAATATTCAGTTATATTATGCACATTCCTTTCTTAACATGTGGTAGATTAATTTAATATGTACATTTATTTCCCTTACAAAAATGTTACAAGCAGGATGTGTCTAGATTTTAAAAATAAAATAATAGTAAATGTTTAGAGGGGTGAAATATCAGAGACAAAAATCACAAGAAACAAGTGGGAACTCAATTGTCAAGAATTACCTTCTCTTTTGTGCATGCAGATGTGATAATCTTCAAGAAAACAGAACATTATAAAACTAGCTTTCCCACAAAACTCCCTCAATCACTTTCTAAAATTAGAAAGTAGCTCAAAAAGTAACTGACGATATGCATATTCTTGACAATTGAAAGAAATTGTCTCCAGTTTTAAGTAAAAAAACTACTGGAGAATGCGGGCATCGATCCCGCTACCTCTCGCATGCTAAGCGAGCGCTCTACCATTTGAGCTAATTCCCCATGTTGCCAATGGGTTCAACTATCTGCAACTCACTCTTTTCTAACTCCTTGTTTCTTGACTCAGTGGAAATTATATTACGATCTGATCTGCCACCACAAGCTCCTGACTTTCAAGCACAAGCTAATTCAGAACGAAACATTCTGCTTTGCAACTAAGGGTAAAACTACGTCGCTCAAATGTTATCTGAAAGGTAGGGGGAATAAAACACCGTTTCCTTGGCACAGTAGACTCCAATCAGATTTATTTTAGGACAGTTTCTGAGCTCTTTACAAGCAAATAAAAAATCGCTTTTCATCTTTTTAATCCAAGTTTTGCCTGTGTCAATGTCTCAGCATCTGTTTACAAATGATCTAACTGGATAACAGACCTTTTCAAAGAGGCCCGAGGATCCAAATGAGCAGTACACTCATCTGTAGAACTGAACAGTTATATTGTATCGTGTTGTTGTTTAAAATCCCCAATATAATTATCTCAACAGATTTGACATAAAAGTAATTAACGGGGTACACCAGAGGTGAAAGTAAACCGGTTTGACCCAAAGTGGCCGACTGGCGGCGAGGCCTTAATCCTGACACCCCACCCCCACTCCCCGCAGCAGGCAGCCAGGACCCTGGCACAAAGGGCTGGCAGGAAAGCTCCTAGTACACGGGGCAGGCAGCCAGGACCCAGACGCACGGGGCTGGCAGGAGAGACCCAGATGCGCGTAGCCGGCAGCCTGGACTTCAGTGAGTGGGGCCAACAGGAAAGCCCGGGGCACGCAGGACCGGTGGTATGTAGAAAGCTGCTGCCTATGAGACTCTGCTATTTAGGGGCACTGAACACGCTGGGACCCCGGCCCCCAGGGCCAGCTGGAGAGTCTCGGGGGGGCAGGGCTGGCTGGAGAGCACGGGGCATGCGGGCCGGTGGTTTGTAGAGAGCTGCCAGGACCTCAGGCGCTGAGCCAGGGTTGTGGAGATGCTGTAGCATCCCATTCACACCTAGCTCCCTTCCCGTGCATAACAGCACTGCCCCCACACCTCCCATTTGACTGAGAGCAGGACATGGTCATCAACGGGGACTGCCCCAGCCCTGAGCCACCCATCTCATATTCCACCCTACATACACCCCAACCCCCTGCACTGATTTCTGCACTCCATCCCACAAGCCTCCAACTCCCTGCCCTTAGCCACTCACACACACCTCCTGAGCTCCCCCATGCCCTGATTCCTGCCCCCCCACTTCAATCCTCTGCCCTGTGCACCCCATACTTACATTTTGTACAGGTATTGTATTGTCTGTCATATTGCAACCCCACCCCAATCCCTGCCCTGAGTCCCCCCTCGCCCTCCCCAAGGGGGAGCAGGTTGTGATAGGACAATGCTTGTAAGAAATGTAAATTACTTTCATCCCTGGGCTACAAAGAAATTTCCCCAATATAACAGGAATCCCTGGGGGGCAACAAGCCAGCCAAATCACTCTAATATCCTCCACAGCCACTAATGTAGTATGTATGGCTGGGGAAAATGAGCATGATTGTACTGCTCCGAAGTCTTCCTGCTCACTTCAGTGCCTCTTTGGGCCTGTGGACAGTCAGGTGTGAATTACACAAAAGGTAAAATCAGCTCCCGCCCAGTCTCATAACTGAGTTGAAAAAGTACCTTCATTTTTCCCTTGAGTCCTGAGCTTCCCACAGCTTGGGTGACCCCAAGAATTGAGGCCACTGTGGTTACCTAAGAAAATTCTTTTTTATTATGCTACAAGTTTGTTAATGCAATTGGCCTTACACAGCAGGAGTTCTCCCCCCCCCCCAAAAAAAAGGTTACTCACTATGAGGGCTGTTCCCCACTCTGGCACACCAAGTGCAGACGATGGGGACCTGCAAAGACCTTAAATGCCTTGTCTCTATAGGTTCTGCTTACAAAAACTCCCTAGAATCACAGATTTACTGATTTTCTGGGGGGGAAGGGGGGAGGGTAGCTGCCACCACCAAGTGAAACAAAAGAAAACCCCTTTCCTCTTGAACACAGGAAAAAAGCACTTGGACTTCTTCCAAAGTGGTATCCCCAAGCTCCTTTACCACAAGAGAGCTTGAAAAACAAAGAGAAAACAAACTGCAGTTTCTGGTAGCTGACCTCTCAGTCTGAGGCGCATGTACATACACACCCACCCACCTTCCTGTTAATTTCCAGGTCACAAGAGTCAAATCATCACCTTAAAGAAGTGAATTTTATCAACAAAACAAAATATATACTTGATAAAGCACAGCTGATTGCTAGGTGTTACAAGCAACTAAGTAAAACAAATTCAAACACAGAGAACATCTCTAGGAACAACTCTTGGGGTATGTCTACACTGCATGGCTATTTTGGGATATCGGAGGTATCCCAAAATAGCTACCCAGTGTCTACACAAGTCACCTGTTATTTCAAAATATTTTTCTAAATAATGGGTGCGCTATTTCACTATCCCAGTAAACCTTGTTGCACGAGGGATAAGAGATAGCTCAAAATAGAGTTTTATTTTGCAATTTGAAATTTGGTGCTGTGTATACACACACGTTGTGTATCTTATTTCGAGTTTAAGGTGCTGTGTAGATGCACCCTTAGATAGTGAATGGAGGAGGGACGCATGGATTCACGTAGAGAAGTTCAAACCAAACCCCCAAAATAAAGAAAATTACCCTAATTGCGACTAACTACACGTTTCCCTTTACTCACGATCCGCGCTGATTCACACTTCAAGGTCCAGTTACTCCCTTGTCCAATATTTCTTATAGGCATGATAATTCTGGTTCCTGCCTCTGCTCTCTACAGCCCTGACTTAGAAAATACAAAGGAAGAACAGACCAGGTGGCTATATCCTATTCAAATTTCAGCACTTATCCTCATTGGTTCTTCTAGCCCCCTGCCAACAACACCCTTTCTAGCTACCTGAGTTTAACCCCTTAGTCATCGGGTGCTGGCCAGCACTTCTCTTATCAGGCAATAGGCCTTACACAGCAGGGAGTCCCCCCCAAAAACGAATAATTAGCAGTCCTAAATTGCAAGGATGTAGATGAGTATTGCATCTCAATATATCCACCCTTTTCCAGTCCTTGTCATAGTGCGTCAACTTGATGTGGGTCTGTTTGCCCCCGGTGTGAACTGCTTTGACCACAAAGGAGTTAGGGGCTGGATGAGTAAACAGGAACTCTGCCTCTTTGGCTGGAACATAATATTTCTTATCAGCTCTTTTGGATGCTGGAAATATGGAGGCTGGACTCTGCCAGATGATCGTAGCTGGATCCAGGAAGGCCTCATTTATGGGGAAGGCTATCATGGATAAGTCAGAGGCATGAAGAATATCTGTAAGTTTATGCTGGACTTCAGGAACTTCTACTAGGGAGATGTCCAGCAAATCAGCAACACTTTTGAATAAGTCATGGAAGGACTTGAAGTCATCCCCAGCTGCTGGTGGTGGGGGCATTATTGACTTGGCGTGCGAGGAGAAAGACAGGTGAGAAGGGGGGAGAGTGTCCTCCTCTTGGGTCTCAACCAGGTCTTCTATACATTGTGTGGGGAGAAGATCAGCAAATGGTACACAACTCCAACTATAAAAATAATATAGCTGGATCAATGTACCTTGAGCTGAGCTTGGTGCCATCTCCATCGCAGGAGGTCAATGGGAGAAACGCTTCTGTCAACTTCCCTTACTCCTTGTGACAGAGAGGAATACTGGTGCTGAGGGGTGCGCCCTCAGTGTTTGATTTAGTGAGTCTTTACAAGACCCATTAAATTGAACCCTGGGAGATCGATCACCAGAGCATCGATCCTCCAGTAAATGGAGATGTGGCCTGAGTCTTGAGACCACCACCCCTGGAGTAAAAGGGTAATTAAGCCTCCCAACCCCATTCAGTCCTTAGCCTCCCTTCTGAGACTACCAGCAAAGGTGTCATTAATACCATTTGTGTAATGATTTTGGAGAAATATTCAATGCAATAATACAAATATAAATATTTATTACATTTATGTCTTCATAGGATTTAAAAAGATATAAAATTATACATCAAAAATTCAAAAGCTACAGGCAAATAAAAAGCAAAGATTTACAAAAACTAAATGCTAACCTGTTCCATACCTATTCTGCTTAGAAATCTTTTGGCTGCTTATACATCTGTGTTTTCCTTCTGATGAAACCAATTTCTCTCATATATTATATTCATCAGTGTTATCATTCATCTTCTAAATATTGTGCTCTCTGAAAGTAATTTCTGTCATATCATCATACCAATGATCTCTAAATTAGGTCTCCAAGATTCTATACTCCTGAAGTATCAATCTCTTGAATAAACCAAGATAATTTCAATTCATCTTGAAAAGATTTTTGTAGTCCTAGTTAATGATGAAATCTCAGATAGCAAATATTTCATTTTCATATTGGACTCCTGGACACTTATTTAAATGTGGTCTACTGAAAAATGAGGAATGTTGGTAATATGGGAAATAGGATGGTAATTTTTCATATTATTTTGTAATACATTAGTACTAAGATATCCCTGATCAAGTATTACCAGTGTGATTACTCCTGGGAGAATTCTATGCCAAAAAAGTAAACATTTTGCACATATTTTAGAATTCTGAATATTTTGTCAAAATAACACTATATAATCATGCTAGTTTCAATTATTTTGGTAATTTATTTCAATATACCTGTCAGTAACTATGTCTGTAACAATACAAACAACCCCCCTCCCCAGTAGTAGAGAGATAAAGAAACCCATATGACAACCCTAAGCCTAGTTGCAGGGTGCCCCGCCCGGCAAGACATTCGCCCCCTCTCCCAGCCCAGATGTGCTCCCCCCAATGCAGATATTCACACCCACTAGTCTCCTGACCTTAGCTATGGGGTGATTCCTCTCATACCACTCCCCCCAGAGCCCAGCTGCAAAGTACCCTCAAGACCCAGCCACTTGTACTCCTCCCACCCCAGAGCTCAGCTACACCCCTCCCAGTCCAGAGATTCACACACCCTACCCCTTTAGTGCCGAACTGCAGAAGTAAGTGTTCTAAAAATATACGGAATCATAAATTAGTGAGTGAGTCAGAATTAAATTTGTTACATATGTCTTTCTTGTTGCATAATATTGCGCTTGAAGAGTTTCTGGCTAGTGTTTAAGAGTATTCATTATCAAAAATGGAGAAAGAATTAATACATTCAGAAGTGGGTGAGACTGTACATGCAGTTCTGCTCAGTGACGTGATGTTCCAGCTCTCTGAAAGAAAAGAAAAGAAAAGGTCAGTCTCACAAAAGAGGCTTTCAAATGTCTCCCTTTTGTTTAGAGTTATAGGGCCTAACTATTCTCAAGGTGAGAATAGATAAACTCTGTTACTTGGATCCTAATCTCATAGGGTACATCTACACTTGACCCCTAGTTCAAACTAGGGAGGAAAATGAAGGCGACCGAAGTTGCTAATGAAGCGCAGGATTTAAATATCCTGCGCTTGATTAGCATAGTCGTGGCCGGTCGCCATGTTGGAAATTGACTAGCCCGATTTAACTTGCCGCATATAGATGCGGTACTCCGAGAAAAACCCCTTAACTCGAATTAACTGGTACTCCTCATATGAGTTAATTTCAAGTTAAGGGGTTTTTCTCGGAGTACCGCATCTATATGCGGCAAGTTAAATCGGGCTAGTCAATTTCCAAAATGGCGACTGGCCGCGACTATGCTAATCAAGCGTGGGATATTTAAATCCCGCGCTTCATTAGCAACTTTGGTCGTCTTCATTTACCTCCCTAGTTTGAACTAGGGGGCAAGTGCAGACGTACCCATACTGATGTACATTAGCCTTCTTTGTCATCAAGATAAATGGGACACTAAAACAAAGGGAAGGTGATGAGATGAAGCAAGGATGGAAGGGTATATATTGTTTAATTGTTGTGGATCTTTAGTTATTTCTCATTCAGAGTTTGTATAGGAATGGGAACTTTGCCAGCCCATTGTGCATGACACCTCTGAGAATGATGTCCACAAAAATAAAGCCTCAAGCTCCTTCTCTGCTTGACTCCTCCACCTCTTTGTTGTCAGCATCATCTATCCTCTCTGTTTTGACATTTGGGATTGTCTAGGCTAAACCTAAACCACTTGGACAGGCATTTTGCTAATTCAGAGGGTTTATTATTATTTCTATAGAAACTGTTGGTAAACTATGTGTTCTCTTAATATGTAAGAGGAGAAAGAACTTGTTTGCACTGACACCTTGATTCAAATTGTTTCCACTTATAACCATATGTTCATTGACAGTTGCTCTGCGGTTGCTTAATAATAATATATGTACTCCCGTGGAACATGACATTTCAGGTCCCAAGAGCCATGCAATAACCAGGCTTTGAGATGAAGTTTTTGAGGATCCAAATGGACGACACAATAGGAGCTAAGGCAGAAGCGGAAGTGTACATGGAAACAGACCGACATGTGGAGAAAGTAAGAGTGCCATGTTTGTCATGTCCATGTGGAATTTATTAATATCAATCTGGATTAGGGATGTAATAGTGTAATTGATTAACCGATAAGCAAAAGTTTATAGATTAATGCTGTAGACTACACGCATTCCTTACCACCAGTAAATTTTTAGCAGACTGGCCAGCAACCTGGCTCAGTCCTAGCTTGTGCAGGATCCAGGACCTACCTCCACTGTGCCTTTGCATATAAAGTGTATTAGGAGCCAGGCGGGCAGGCAACCCAGCTCAGTTCCAGCTTGCGCTGGGTCCAGGAGCTTAGACCCTCGTGCATGGGGCAACAGGCAGCCAGTCCGTGAGGGGAGCTGGTTTATAAACTGGCTCCCCTCATGGACCAGTTCCTGCCTGGCGCCCTGTGCTGCTGCCTCTGATACAGAGGCAACAGTGTAGAGTGGCAGGGGGCTCCTTGGGAGTAGGGCCAGGGCTCACTAGCTGCCAGCCTCCCCCCTGGGGACTACAGAATAGTCAAGTAACAGATAAGAATTCATGAGGTTACTCGACTATTCAATTAATTGATATGTAACATCCCTATTCTGGATCTATCCTGTTTTATCTGTCATTTCTCTCTAGCTGCTGACTGCACAGCTGCCCCCTGCTCTTCTAGAGTTCTTCTGCCCATGCTCAGGCCACTCACCACTTCCTGGTGAGTAGGTACTGGGTGCGGCTTGCAGACAGGGAGCGGGGTGGCCAGAAGATGAGGCTCGCTGCAGGAGCCAGTATGGAGTCTACGGGGGATAAGGGACCACCGGGTGATGCACAGAAGTCCCGCTCAGCATCTCCATCTAACTCCTCAATCTCTTCTAATTAAACCTGCCTTTCCTCAAGCACCAGCATTCAAGTTAAATAAAAAACGACTTCTACTATTTTTCATTCATACAATATTTCAGCTATATTATTAATTCAATAGGCTTATATATAGTGCCGCTATGATCAGGGTGAATGGTAATTTATGCTCCTATGAGGGAAAAAAAATATTTGAAGGGATGGGGATAAAGTAGAAAAGTCTATTGTATTATGACTAAGAAGAACTAACTACACCTAAAGGAAAGGGAAAAGGATTATTTTTAGTTGTGTGTGCACTGAAGGCTCTGACTCGACCCAACGGCCAAAGAGAAGGAACTGGGCTGGTGATGTTAGCTCAGTGCCAGTTAATCACCTGAAGCAGCACAATATGGGCACTGCACATGTGTGAGTTAACCGGGCACTGCTACCATAAATATTCTACTAGGAGAGCAGGAGCATGCAGACACTTACTGTGGAGCACCCACAGAGAAACCACTCTGAGAAAGAATCCACATATTTCCCCTCTTTTCCCACTGCCTCTAATATTCAGAACATTATCAGTGAGCATATTAATTGAACTCCAGTCTTTGCAGGATAGTGGGATTAGAACCCAAAAATATATATTTCCCTCTTTATAATTGGGATTAACTTTATTTTACTGTAATACTCTGAAATTACCCCATAGTCACTAATTTAAAATAGATTCTGTAGAACCAAATACTTATATAACCAGGATTTGAATCAATGCTTTCATTAGTCAACTGGAAAGGGAAAGAAATCCCAAGTGTGTTTATATAAATACAGTTTCTCCCTACTTCACTTAGATGTATTAGATATTCAGCTGTTACAATGGTGTTTTGTTCATTGTAATCAACTTGGCTGGTGTTGGTTATAAGTTGTGTTAATACTAATTGCAATGTCTGTGATTATTGGGGGATTGCAAAAGAAGAAAGTCTGTGCTTAACCTGGCACACAATGTTTAAAGAATGAGATTCTGGGCATGTGTGTGTAAATACAGTTCACTAAATGTGCTTAGTTCTGCTAGATACTGAACTGTTACAATGGTGTTTTGCCCAATTTGGCTGTTGTATGGTCACAAATTGCGTTAACACTAAATGCAGAAATTGTGAGATATGATCACCAATGCTTGCAGTTACTGTGGGACTGAAGAAAAGTCAGACTGTGTTTAACTCAGTAAAAAGGAGAGACCCTGTCAGTGTAAATACATATAGATGGACAGAAGTTCCTCTTCCAAGGCCATATGAGATGAAGCTGGGGAGGGAGAACTCTGAGTCAGCAGATTACATGCCCTCCAGGCAGGAGCTGTAAAACTGGTTCAACCTGTTTCTCTCCCCGCCCCACCCTGTCAATGACAGAGCTAAAGAAAGGCTCCACAAGGAGTCTCTTTTAAATTTATTCCAGTGGATGCCGAAATCTCTTGTGGCTGGGCTGTGCTTTGGGCTAAGAGCTGAAATCACTGAGTGCTGAAATCACTAGGTTTGGCCCAGAGCCAAATCTACCAGAAGCCAGCAGAAGATGCAACAAGCAGCACAATGAGTAGCCAGCAGGGTGGGAGAGCAAAGGCAGCGAGGGGTGACGAATGGCCAGCAGAGCGGAGCCAAACAGCAGTGAGCAGGTGGATGGTGAGTGACCAGCAGAGTGAGTAAGATGCCTCCTATCTCTCCCCCACTCAGGGTGGGAAGTGAACTCTGCAGATACCCCTCTGAATTCTGGGTCTGCCCTGACCAAGGGCAGCAACTGTGAGTGGGGTGCTAAGAAGGGTTGGGCATGTCACGGGGACATTTACATTGCTGGACTTAAGAACCTGAGAGGAAAAGGACATTGTCCAACCTACTTGAGCTGGGACGTTTACTCATGGTTTTAGTTATGAACTCTGTGGTGTTTTCCCAAACTAATGTCATGTTACTTCCCTCCCTTTTATTAAAGGTTTCTTTTCTACACTCAGGAACTGTGCTTGTGATAGGGGAAGCATTGCCTCTCAGAAGCGCCCAGGGGTGTTGTGTGAATTTCCCAGGTTCCTAGGTGGGGGCCTGAGCCAGTTCTGTGTTGGATGGATGGAGAGGAACCCCTCGATATTGAACCCTGCCCTGGCTGCTTCTGACATTACCTGGCAGAAGGGTTACACTTAAATGAAACTCAACTCATCAGCTTCCCATGATACATGAAATTCATGGCACAACACAGAAGATTTTAACTTTTTTTTGTATGGGGGAAGGGGCTTACACGCTAACTCAGATCTTAGCCATGATCAAAGAAACAGACATTAAAGATGGAGACCTATTAAATGCCCAATCCTGCACTCCTTGAAGTTGATGGATTGTATCCTACAGACAGTATATTCTTCAGTGCTTTAACCAGCCTAGTTTTACCACTAAGAAAACTGTCAAGTTTTACGGTATTTTTCCATAAGAGAAGGCCCCTATTCTCACCTGTCTGTCCTTAGAATTAGGGTTGAATTCCTTACTGCTCTTTTCCCACAGTATAGGTCTGTGTCTCACAGATTTCAGTCTCGCTCTCCTGTCCCGGCAGATTCGCAACGAGCGTGGGAGTGTGGCATAAGGACTATCAGACCCTAGCAAAGAGGAAAAATAGGAAAGGACTTAACAAGGGACAAAGGTTTGACTGAAATGCACATGTATGCACATTGAGATTGTTATAATCATAACCATCCACAGAAAGCAAAATTTAGGTTAAACACTAAGGAAAACTTCTTACACCTAAAGTAGTGATTCTCAATCCGCAGCCTGCAGGCCGCTTTCTACCCAATCAGCACAGAACTGCAGCCCATGTGACATCCACAGGGCCATACTAGGGATGTAACAGTGTAACCATTTAAACAGTTAACCAATAAGCATCAGTTATCAGTTTTTGTTATGGTTACATACCAACTCCTGGCCCTGCTCCAGGAGAACAGGCTGCCACTCTGCGCACTGGGCTCTTCAGCATAAAACTTATACTGCAGAGCGTGCAGCACAACTGGCTCTCTGGGAGTTGAGTCAGCAGCTGGGAGCCAGTGCACACTGGGAAATGGCTTATAAGCTTATACAATAACTGCTAGGATTTTAACAGTTAAATGTTACATTTTTAACCATTTTTTTACATCCCTAGGCCACAGAGATAGTGTTGGATGCAGCCAACATAACACATTGTGGACCATATATGCGCCCCAAAATGATAGACAGGTTGAGAATCGCCATTCAAAGGGTAGTTAAGCATGAAACAAATTACCCAGGTTGTGGAATCCTGTCATCAGAAGTTTATAAGAACAAGTTAGACAAACAACAGACAGAGATAGTCTCTAGATAATACCTAGTTTTGCCTCCATGCAGGAAACTGGATGAGATTTGCCTTCCAGTCCTACATTTTTATGATATTATTGTGGCAATGGGATTGGAAGGGTGGGGACAGCCTGCAAACATATTTCTAGTCCTCCAATAAGAGCACCCCATCCCTCAACAGTTTCTCTTTAATATGCTTTGCTGTTTTGGCGCTCCTTTGTTCTAGTGCAGTTCCATTTAAAAAATCATTGTTCTTCTTGTCAGATAAGCAGGGGCTACACTATTAGCAACACAAATACATCCCTTTCGCCTTTTCTTTATCACATGTCCACAGTAAGAAGCATCACGCCCAATCCTCTCTTTATTACATTTTTTCTATGCCCTACACCTTTGCAGTGGAATTTGGGAACCTCAGAATCTGGCACACTTCAGAGTCTGAAGTACCCACTGATTTACTTAAGAAAAGCCTAGCAGAGACACAACTAGGCATAAGTTCCTACTTAAGAGAACATGGTAAAAACAGATTTAGATTTAAAGCACATCCATCCTCCTCCCTGCCACCGAGGCAATCAGAGAACTGGACACTAATACAATGACTATGAATCAAGGGAAAACAACTTTAGAAAAATTTTAAGGAGAAAAAAGGAGGAAAAGGAAATCTCTGGAAGTGACACTGGAGCCCAGAAGTGAGGAGGAGAAAGCTGGAAGACCACTCAGTAGTGATGGAACAGGAGGAACAGTCACAACAACCAGGCACCTTCTGATAAGCACTCTACTGACCTCAGTTTTCCATCTGCCAAATCCAGTATTGTCAACTTCAAGAGATCAAACATAATTAGTCAGATCCCCCAAAATCATGACATTGGTCCAAAAATCATTACTGTTTTAAGGGCTGTCAGTTGTCCTGTGTTAATGCCTGTGATTAATGCCAGACAGGATTAACACATTAAAAAAATTAACACATTAATCTCAGGCGTTAATGCTGCGCTGCTTCTTTGAAGTGATGCTCCTGCACTTCAAAGGGGCAGCACAAAAGGAACTGGGGATCAGCTGGAGTGCCCAGCTTATCCCTGGCTCCCTGTTGCAAAGCCCCTTTGAAGTACCATTCGGCATTTCAAAGAGGCTTTGCAACAGCAGAGCCGGAGATCAGTCCCCAGCTGATCCCCAGCTCCGTGTTGCAAAAGGCTTTGCAATGCAGCAGCAGGGATCAGCTGGGGACTCCCCTGGCCCCGCTGTTGCAAAGCCCCTTTGAATTGCCACTCTGGCATTTCAAAGGGGCTTTGCAATATGGAGCCAGGGATCAGCTGGAGTCCCCAGCTGATCCACAGCCCCGCTTGCGCTGCCCCTTTGAAGTGCCACTCCGCCGCCTTAAAGGGGCAGCGCTGCATGGAGCCCAGGGTCAGCTGGGGACTCCAGCTGACCCCGGGCTCCGCCTTGTGCTGCCCTTTTGAAACGCTGTGGCAGTGCTCCAGCTGATCCTAGGCTCCATGCAGCGTTGCCCCGTTGAAACGCCGCCACAGCATTTCAAAGGGGAGTTGTACGCAATTAAATTTTATAATCACATGATTAATTGCGATTAAAATTTTTAATCACTTGACAGCCCTACTTTTTTTATAAAACAGATTATATTGTGTTTTTAGGTCAGTCTCTTGATTTCTGAACTCCTTCGCTCCTGCTCATCCCAAGAATGAGCACGTGACAAGTTGCCCACTTTCTTACATATACTGGACAACATGATTTTGATCCCCAGAATTGAAAGCCTCCTGCCCAGCAATTAATCCTGTCCTCCAGTCCAACGCATTTTTGTTCTCCACCCAGCTCCCCTCAGTTCAGCCTCCAGTCCTCACCAGTTCATCCCCGGCTACCTCATTAACTCCCACTGCCTTCAGCTCATTCTCCTAGTACTCCCCTCCTTCTGCTCAAAACCCATAACCAATACAGCCCCCCATTAGCTCCCACCGTACTCACTTCAGCCCCCTGAAACACTCAAGCCATAGTTTAGCCCTTCCAGCCCCAGCTGTGCCCCTCTTAGTGTTCTTCTCCCTCCCTCAGCCTGGCGGGGCTGCAATGGGGTATTCTTTCCCACATTCCAGGCTGACAGCCAGAACCCCACCTCCAGAGGCTGACAGCTAGAGTTCTGCTGTCCAAATCTTGAAATTTGAAAATTCTATTGTGAGATCATGGATGAGACTTAATTTTACTTAGCAATCGCACCTCTCATGATAAATTTGTGAGAGCCAGCATGTCTGCAAACCCTCCTGAAGTGTCAATCATTTCCAAACCCAAACTGAAAGTACTCCAGTTTCTAAACTTTCCATCCTCTTTCCTTCCATCAGCAAGCCTCATTTTCAGTCTAACCTACTTTTCCATATGCCGCACCAATGACAATATGGGCACCAAGAAAGAATTTTCTAATTTTCCATTTCAAAATATGGTCTGCTAAGGAGAAAAGCACAGAGAGAAAATAATAGTTCTTACAGCTGGAAGTATCACTCAAGCTGTGTAGAGATTTCAACAGTTGGCTGGTGGGGAGCCCTATTAGCCGAGAAGCCTGGCAAAAATAAGTAAGACCACTGCATTTTCTCTTCTGTGAGGTCTTTGGGTAGTCAGTGAGACTCTTCCGCTGAAAGCTCCTCCAGAAGTTTCTTTGCTTTATCTCATAATAACTAAGAAAATAAAAAGCTCAGTTATTATACCTTGAGGATGAAATTATCAATACAAAATGGAACTAGAGTAATTTTTTCAAAAGTGCCAAAATGACTTGGGTTCCTATCAGTGTTCCCTCTCAAATTTTCCATCCATGAGTGGAGTGAGTTTTGTACTGTGCACCAATATTGAGGTCATGTGCGCTTGTTTGGATGTGTGCCACTATGGCACCTACCAGTGGTGCTGCTCCCCAAGAAACTGCAGCCCAGCCCCCTTGTTGGGACCCTAAGCTCTGCTCCTACGCAGTGCACCCTCATCTCATGGGAAGAAGATGAGACCTGCCCTCCCCCAGGGAGTGCTGTTCCTAGGGCAGCCTGTGTGCAAGGCAAAGGCTGCCCTAGGCTACTCCCCACAGGGCTGGCTGTGAGTCCCCACCTGGAGCAGAGGGAAGCTGCTGCCAGGGCTCAGGGTTTGCAGAGTGGGGTGCTGAGGGTGGAGAAGTGACATGTGGGGAGTCAGGGACGGCGGAGCCAGCAGGGTGCTGAAGGGGGTGGGAGGCTCTGAGAGCCAGAGGGCAGTGAGGGGAAAAGAGCGGTATGGGAGCGGGGAACAGGGATGTAGGGGGCCCTGGCCCCAGGAGCAGGCGCACCACAGCCCCAACCCCTAGAGCAGTTGCACTGCAGCCCAGCTCCAGCAGCTACCTGCCATGTGGCTCACCCCGCGAACAGCCAGGCAGCCACCAGATGGCCCTGGCCCCAGTTCCAGTCCTTCCCCAGGGCTGGAGCTGTAGACAGGGCTGTGGAGTGGCTCCTCGGCTGCTCCTGGGGTGGGCTGTGTGGCAGGTGGTTGACCTGTGTGCCGGGGCTGGAGCCAAGGCCACAATGTGGCTGCTCCTTGAGCTGGTATCACAGTTGTACCACAACTCGAGCCCCAGGAGCAGCCGCACCACAGCCCAGGTTCCAGCTCTGGCAGCTGCCACGTGGTCTGCCCTGGCTGTAGTTCAAGTCCTGGAAAAGGGCTGAAAGTGGGGCCATGGCTGCATGGTAGCTCCTCAGCTCCTCCCAGGATGGGGCCGCATGGCAGGCAACTGCTGGAGCTGGAGCCTGGCGATGGTGTGGCTGCTCCAGGGGCTGGGACCAGGGGCTCAAAGGGCAGTCTTGCTAGTGCATTGAGAACTAATTCCAAGTCCTACATGCGTGGTATAGGTCTATGCGGCAGACTGAGACTGTGTAGCCCCTTCAAAAATCTCTTGGATATAGGATGCGCAAATACTGAGAAGCCGCCACTAGGAGGATAGAAAGCTGCAATGGCAGCCAGGTGTACTCTGAGAGATGAAACTAACGGGTCTTGTTTCAGGGACATAATGTAGTCAAAGATAGAGTGAAGAAGTGCGGTAAATGGTTGGAAGTCATTACTCAGACACCAGGCGGTAAAACAGTTCCACTTATTAAGGTAAGTTACAGGTAATTTGTCTTCTACTGTGAAGTAACACACTCTTGTTGTGAGCACATCTGCTCTGCCCCAGAGAACCAGAGAACCACCACGCCACCAGGTGTAGAGTTTGTGATTGGGGATGAAAGAGAGTGCTTTCGCTCAGGGATAGGAGATCTGAATGGTTCAGAAGTGGGTAGGGAGGTCAGAGAGACATCTGATACAGACATGTCTGCCTGGACCATGCTGGTGCTATGAGGAATACCTGGACCTCATCTGACTGCATCTTCAGAAGGACTGGGAATGAGTGGAATAGGAGAAAATGGGTAAATGAGGTGAGCATTCCATGGAATAAGTACAGCACACCATAACCATCTACAAACGGCCAGCCCTATCAGTGGAATAGATTGTGTAGGACTTGCATGTGAACCTCTCACTCATGGTCTGTTGCGAAATGGCAGCTGAGGGTATCGGCCGTGTCCCGGGGTGCACCCCCTGTCACGGGGCACGACACCCCTGCAAGACCAACCTCACAGTTCAGTGCCCTCTACTCAGGGGAAATACAGTCCCTGGGCTTAGTCCAAAAGTTCAGTGGCCTGAAGGCTTGAATAGTCGGGGTGCTCTACCTGGCTGTTGGAGAGCCGAACACCAATTGAGGTGAAGATAGAGGGACCCGGGCCCTCTCACTCCACCGGGTCCCAACCCAGGACCCTGTTGGCTGTGGTAACTGCACTGCCAACTCAGTGGGAAGTCCGTCTGAAACACGCTGAGCTCCCGGAAGGGTAACCCTCCACCCTGGTGGGGTTCAGTTCCCGGAATGTTCCACAATGTACCTGGACCTTGTGGCTATCCCCCTGTCATGGGGTAGTCTCTGGGGTCGTGGTGAAAGCAGCTGCAATGGAGTCTGCAGCTCCAGAAAGCATGGTGGCTGGGACAGCTGCTTGGTCTGTTCCTCTGGCTGCGGCTGGGGCTGCGACTCCAGGGGCAGCTGCAGAGGCTGCTGCTGGGGTTGCTGCTCAGAGGATGACGGCGCCAACCAGGCTGGCTCAGGAGCTCCAGCCTGAGCTCCCTCCCTGCTTGCAGTTTTCCCCCCTGAGCTGTACTCAGGCCTTTTATACAGTCCCCATATGGGGAGCATGCCCAGTTGGCTGAAAGGGGCAGGGCTTCCTCCACCCATAAGCCTTTCACCCCCCTCCTTCTAGTGTACGGTATATCCACCCCATCACAGGCCGTAATATTTTTGGTTCCATGTAAGTAAGATGTCATGATGGTGACATTGTGGCAGATATACTAGTTCCAAAGACGTACTGCCTCTGCACAGAGGAATTGAGAATGAGCGTCCCCTTGATGTTTGATGTAGAACATCCAAGTTATGTTGTGGGTTGGGATGCGCCCTGTAGAGCCCTGAATGTCTGGAAGGAAGCATTTGCATGCATTGCACCAGCTCAGAGTTCCAGGAGATTGATATGGAGTCCAGACTTGTTGGTGGACCATTTGCCCTGAGCAAAGAGCTGTTAGAAATGGGCCCCCCAACCAAGGAGCGATCTGTAGTGATCTGTTTGGATGGCTGTATCTGGTGGATTGGGACACTGCCAAGGTTTTGAGGTTTGGTCCACCATTGTAGTGAGGAAAGGACACTGGGGGAACTGAAACACGTTTGTGCACCTGGTGTTTGGAGGGAGTATACACCAAGGCAAGCCAGTGCTGAAGGCAATGAAAATGCAGGCGAGTGTGACAAACAACGTATGTCGTGGCTGCCATGTGCCCCATGAGACGGAGACAAGTCAGTATAGGAACAGTGGGGCTTAAAAGTTATGACCAAAATCAAGCTTCATATGGACTCGAAATGTTGCTTTGGGAGATATACGCGTGCTGCTGTAGAGTCCAGATGAGCCCTTATAAACTCCAAAGACTTGGGTGGGGCAGAGGGTGGATTTCTGTACTTTGATGATGAAGCCAAGGGACTTATAAAAGCTCTTGGTAAAGAGGAGCATGTCTCCTGTGGCTTGTTGAGAGGGAGCTCGAATAAGGCAATCATCTACGTAAGGGAAGATTGTAATGCCCTTGCAGCGTAGGTGTGTGCAGCAATTGCCAAAGTCTTGGAAAAGACTCTGGGGATGTGTCGGGGAACCTGGACAACCCCGCCTTGACATTGTACAGCCCTCCATGACCGGACTAATGATGGCTGACTTGCCCAAAGTGCGGATTTCAAGCAAAGACAACCCAGGCCTGACTCAAGTCTGCTGCACATATGCACGCATGCCAGGCCGAGGGGAGGAGCTTCGAGAGTCAGGATTGCTTTAAACAATTGTGCATAGGGAATATGGTATAGTGAAACCATGCCAAGAACATTGGGAGAAACCCAGTACTGGTACATAATATTTCTGATAAACAAAAATCACAGCTACAACCATAGACCTGTCAATCAAGTACAGTACAGCCTGAATAGCAGGATGTATCCCAAATATGGGCATAATAGGAATCTTATACAATATGTAATCAATTGATAGATATTACTAGAACGACCAAGTCTAATATAAATATAAGTGTAGAAAAGATAATCAGTGGGAGGGATTGGGTAAGGTGTCCCTACTACCTTACTTGTGGCAACTAGAAACTGTGCCTATTCCTACTGACTGATGCATTGTGGACGCCTCTGTGTGTGGGGAAAAAAAGAGGCCATGACCTCCCATCTGACAATTGTAAGGGTCTTAGCGGTAGAATTGCATATGATTAATAGAAATAAGTATATGTATATCCATATCCTTAAAATTGAGTAACTTGTATATTGTCCTAGGTGTAGGTATTGTTATATTGTCTGTACTACATATCCCATTCATTAAAATTGATCTGTGTAACTTTGCATTGCTTTACTTAACTCAGATAAACTTTTTTTAATTTTATTATGCACAGGAGAGTAATTTACTGGCTCCTCTAGTTTCTAAAACAAATTGAACCATATGACAGGATGGAAGAAAGTCCGAAAGGAAGAACTCTATATTAGGAGTGATTTGTAGCAACTGTGAACTGGAGAAAGCACCTGTGCACTAGATGTATAGCTATGTGAAAATACACATTTTGGAAGTTGAGGGCTGCAAACCAATGTCCTTCATCCAGACTTGCTGGAATAATGGCCACGAGTGTGATCATCTTGAAACGCTGTTTGAGGAGGTATTTATTTAGTTGACGTAGGTCGAGAATGGGTCTCCAACCACCCATTCTTTTTTCCAGGAAATAATTTGAGTAAAATCACCTGCCTTGATATTGCTTGAGTATACTCTTTATAGCTCCTATGTGTAGGAGGTGTTAGACTTCTTGATAGAGCAGTGCTTTGTGAGAAGAGTCCCTGAACAGGGACGGGAAGGTGGGGAGGTTGGAGGAATTGATGTCAAGAGAATGCAATATCCACACTTGATAATCTCCAGGACCCAACAGTCCGTGGTAATTGCTGTCCACTGGTTGTAAAAGGGGCACAAATTATGGTGTAGTTGGATGGCACTTGTGGAAAGGAGACGTAGTGCAGGCCTTTGACCAAAGCCTCAAACTTAATGCTAGGGGGCCTGTATGTTGGATGAGCAGAGGTTAGGAGCTCTCCGGTATTGATTCCTTGACCTGGAACAACTCGGGTTGAACGGTCTTTGCTACTGTCTGCCAAATGACAAGTCTCTCTGGGTATGTCTACACTACCCCGCTAGTTCGAACTAGCGGGGGTAATGTAGTCATCCGCGATTGCAAATGAAGCCCGGGAAATTCAAATCCCGGGCTTCATTTGCATGAAGCCGGCCGGCGCCATTTTTAAATGCCGGCTAGTTCGAACCCCGTGCCGCGTGTAGCCGCGCGGCACGGGGTTCGAACTAGCCGGCATTTAAAAATGGCGCCGGCCGGCTTCATGCAAACGAAGCCCGGGAAATTCAAATCCCGGGCTTCATTTGCATGAAGCCGGCCGGCGCCATTTTTAAATGCCGGCTAGTTCGAACCCCGTGCCGCGTGTAGCCGCGCGGCACGGGGTTCGAACTAGCCGGCATTTAAAAATGGCGCCGGCCGGCTTCATGCAAACGAAGCCCGGGAAATTCAAATCCCGGGCTTCATTTGCAATCGCGGATGACTACATTACCCCCGCTAGTTCGAACTAGCGGGGTAGTGTAGACATACCCTCTGTCTCTGGTAGGTTATGTAACGCCTCCTACGGTAGGGTGGTGTATACATCCCTAAGGTGCATAAAATGGTACATGAGTCTTTCTTGGAATGGATGACTTCATCTGTCTTAGCAGCAGAGTTTGTTCTTATCAAATGATAAATCCTCAACCTTAGTTTGGAGGTACTTGGGGACACCAGCTGCTTATAGCCATGAGGCGCACCTCATCACTATGGATGTTGCTGTTGCTCTTGTCACAGTATTGGCAGAATCGAGCACCATTTATAGTTCTGTGTGGAATGTAGTGTATTACTCTTTAACAATAGATTTTAATATGGGTCTTTTGTATTTAGAAGATGTTGCATCAGTTCTGTTAGTTTTGCATAATTGTCAAAATTGTGACTGGAGAAATGTGCTGTATAATTTGCTATACAGAGTTGAAGCATCAAGGAGGAATAGATTTTTATCCCAAATAGATCCAGATGTTTAGGGTCTTTGTCCTATTGGATTTATATTGAGAGGTCTTAGATCTTTGGTTTGCAGCATCCACCGCTAAGGAGTTGGGCTGAGGATGCAGAAATAAGAATACTATGCCCTTTGAGGGGACAAAATATTTTCTGTCAGCCCTCTTATTAGTTGCCACACCTCATCCACTTCTTCCATGATAGCCTCATCTAAAGGAAGCACAATTCTCACTTTTATGGAAGGTTGGAGGTACTTTAAGAGTTTGTGCTATTTTTCTTGCACTTCTGATAACACAACTTCCTGATTGATAGTGACCATGTCATTCCTAAAATGTGTGGGCTCTTGCTGGAGAGGAATGTTGAGAAGTGAACACACTCCTGCGGTCATCTTGGTAGTCACTGTAGTGAGACAGAGCAGGCAAATGTGGTGGAGGATGAGAGTACCGAAGGGATAGAGGAGAGCGGAAGCAATGTTGCAATGAAGGTTCATAAGGAGATCTAGGTCTCGGTTCCATATCTGGCACCAGTGCAGTATGTTCCTGTGCATGAGCTGAAGAGTGGTGGCAGACTAGTGAAGATTGCCACGGTGCCAAGATGAGCAGTGCCGGTGGAGGCATCGGCACCAGTGGTGATGGTGCTGACTCTGGGTTTGGTGTGCGAAGCAAAGGTTTAGTGTATTTGCACCTGTCCTTCTTCAGCACCGTGGTTCCAGTTGGTGCTGTAGACTGAAAAATTTCTGATTTTTCAGATTTTTTTTAAACCTGGGCGATTACATGCAAAAAGCCACATTAAAAATTATCACAGCTTCCTTGAAAAGATTATCAAAATCAAAAGGTAGTAAATACCAAAATCAAGGATACCTGTGCAACCCCTTATGCATACACATGATGATAAAGTCTTTTATACAATCACATACTAGTTTTTCTAACCTTTTGAAAGGATGAATGAGTTCTCACAATCCCCTACTTCATTATTTTAGAAGTTGAAAGGTGTGCAGAGAATGGGGCAGGGTACTGTAGAGGGTACATTACAGTGGTTATAGTAATTGAATGTCATTCTGAAGAATTTCATCCAGGTAATGGTCCTATACTGCTTAATATTATTATCGATCTGATTGGAATGCACATGAAACACTTGAAGAAAAACAAAATATCACAACAATTGGGGGAAGAGTAAATAATGAAGAGGACAGATCACTTGGTGAATTGGACACAAGTAAAAAATATGCATTTTAATACAGCCAAATGTAAAGTTATGAATGTAGAAACAAATAATATAGACCATACTTAGAGGATGGGAGACTATGAAGAAGACTTACAAGTTACATTGGATAATCAGCTGAACAGGAACTCCCAGTGCAATGCTATAGCATAGCCAACAAGGCTAATGGACCTAGAATAAACTCTAATCTAAATAGCTACTTTATCGTTAGAATCTCAATAATGCACTTCAATGTTAGCACACCCTGGAACCCAAATCTTATTTTGAAATCCAAGACTTGGAGCAGAAATGAGCTTGTACTATGTTACCAATTGAGTATATCCTGACATTGGTAGTAGAACACAGATAATAGTGCACAGGACGGGACAATCAGAATATTTTAAATTACTACTAACTCTACGTGCTGACACTGCCACTTACCTTATGACTTCCCTCTCTGATTTCACTGGCAGAGCTGACATCTCCACCAGCTTTGTAAGAACTTCAAAGAAGAGAGTCTCTACACTATAAGGATCGTGTATTATACTCTCTTTGGGCCGAACTGAGGAGAAAGTTCAGAAGATGATCAGTTTAAAGGACATTCCACAGACAACCTCCACCATAACATTCACCCAGATGTTTAATGCACATAAACCAAATAATGTTACACTATCTGGATGCGAATTGCCAAAGAAACTCATAAGGTGCAAATTCTAGAAGCTTTCCGGAATGGAAAAAGAAAAATTACTTTGGCAATCTGGTTGGGTTGTTGGCTTGAAGTCTTAGACTTGTTAGATGAACTAAAAAACTGTATATTTATAGTATTTAAGTTTTCCCTCTTAAGGTGTGAAAAGAAGGTCAGGACATGGCTCTAACCTTACAACAGGATAATGGCCTCAATTCAGAACACATTGTCAGGGTTAAAAGAAACCCATTTGTCTTATGGAAAAGACTGTTTGCAATTCAATATAATTTATGTGCAGTGATTCTATATATACATATGTTCTGTTATAGCAATTTCTCTTTTTGCTGTTATTTCTTGAAACCTAGTTTAATTTCCCCTTTTTATTTTTGTAAATTTATATGTAGTCCATTATTAGTATTAGACTTCATAAATAAACATTATACTTTAATTTGTTTTCTCCTGCCTTGTGGAGGCATCTTTATTTTAAATTACAGTAAAGAAACACACAGAGAGGGAAAATATTGCATGCCCACCTTTGAATCATGCTTCTCAATATTCAAAGAAGAATACAGGGAGAATACCATTCTTGATTAAACACTTAGTATAGGCAGTATAATCTTAGACATTATAAAGGTAGAAAGGAATGCACAAGTGTTTCCTCTTAACTACTTATTTCCATTCTTTTAAGATTTTGGATGGATGAAGCATGCCTTGCCACAATCTTAATGGACATGAAATATAGTTTTAATTTGTTAACTGCCTATAAGGTTGAACCTGTCTCGTCTGATACCCTCAGGATATGACCAGTGCTGAACCAGAGAATTTGTTGACCTATAAGGTCAATATTGTTTAGCACCATTAATAGCACTTCCACTACTTACTGAATTCTTAGAAGACATTTAGGAGTAAATTAGAGCTAAATAACAGCAAAGAAGGGAAGGTTACTCACCAGGTGCAGTAACTGGAGTTATTCAAGATGACTGTCCCTGTGGATGCTCCATCTTTAGCTGCATCAGCGCTGCTGCACCTCTGATCGGAGATTTGTGACAGCAGTGCTCACAGTTGGTTGTGCATGCAGAGTGCCAGCACACAAGATCTGAGATGGCTACTCCGTATGCACAGCCAACCACCTCCTCAGTTCCTTCTCTGACCTGGATGTATATTAGTCCAAAACAGAGGGGACGAAGGGTGGGTGGTGGAGCATCCTCAAGGATACGTACATTGGACAAACATCTCAGACACTTCGCCAAAGGATTAATGCCCACAAAACAGATATCAGACAAGATCACAAAGAGAAAACAGTTTCTTGCCACTTTAACCAGAAAGGACACTCTCTAAATGACTTAGCCACCTGCATTCTGCTACAAAGACCTTTTACATCTGCACTTGAAAGGGAATCCTCTGAACTGTCATTCATGTTAAAATTCGACACTTACCACCAGGGACTTAACAAGTCTTTGAACTTTCTCACCCATTATCAAGACAGTTTCCCCAATTATCACCTGTAATACCATTAACTCACAAACATCCCACTCTCCCTACCTCTAATATCATCAATTCACAGACACTTACCTTCCTTCCTCCCCCTTCCCACCCCCCCGCCTCCTCCTTCTGTTCTGCAATGTGATTTGTCCTTTTCATATTTGTTCTTTTTTTTAATTGTATCCTTTGGTATATATGGTTGTGACTACTTTCTTCCACTATTTGATCTGAGGAAGTGGGTCTGGCCCACGAAAGCTCATCATCTAATAAACCATCTTGTTAGTCTTTAAAGTGCTACATTGTCCTGCATTTTGCTTCAACTACCCCAGACTAACACGGCTACATTTCTATCACTGCACCTGGTAAGTAACCTTCCCTTCTACGAGGAGTGTCCCCGTGGGTGCTCCACCTTTAGGTGATTATGAAGCACTAGTTGTGTTAGGAGGTGGGAGCTTCGGAAGGTATGACTCTGTGACCAAAAGTATTGTTCAGCTGAATTTTGTTTCCAAATCTGTGAATGTCTGAATGGCATAATGCTGCATGAATGCGTGCATCGATGCCCATGTAGCGGACTTACAGATCTGTTGGAACACCTCGTAGGAACGCTGTTGTAACTGCCATAGGTCTTGTGGAGCGAGCTCTTATGTTGGGCGGGGGGCTGTAGATGAGATGAAAAGTCGTGGAGTCTTGCTGAATGCTTTTGTGTGTTGTAAATAGAAGGCAAGTGCCCTGTGGACGTTCAAGGTATGGAGTGCCACTTCCTTGTGTTCCTTATGTGGTTTTGGGAAGAAGATGGGTAAGTATATTGGTTCATAGCAATGAAATGAGGTAAGTACTTTTGGGAAGAATTTCTGTTGTGTAATCTGTAGTAATCATTACTGATAGTGGGGCTTGTTTGAAGGGGACCGCTACACGTACATTCTCATACAGAGTCTACCATGTGAGTGAAGTCTTTATCTTGGCTGGCATGGTAAGCTGTTTGTTTATATGATAGATGCATGGCTGGTATACTGTACATAGCCATGCCTGGAGAGGCTTCAATGTAGGCAGGTGTGTAGCACCATGAAAGTGGCTGCCACCATGTGCCCTAATATTTGTAGGCAATGTCAGACCATTGTCTGCGCCATTGATATGAGATCCTTGATTGCTGCAAATCTGTGCTCTGGTAAAGAGGCTATGGCCATTCTGCAATCTAAGTGTGCCCCTATAAATTCTAATGTCTTAGTTGGGATTACTTTGCTATGTTTATCTGGAGTCCAAAGCTGTTGACTAGGGCTCTGATGGTTGTGACAGCTTGTTCTGTGCATTGCTCTGTGGTGCCATTATTAGATAGTCATCTAGTTATAGGAATATTGTGATACCCATTTTATGTAAGTGTGCAGCTACTACTGCAAGAACCTTTGAGAACACTCGTGTGGCTGTTGAGAGTCTGAATGGTTGCACTCTGTACTGGAAGTGTCTGTCCTTTATTATGAAATGAAAAAAGTGTCTGTGTGACGGATGTATTGATATATAAAAATAGGCATCCTGGAGGTCAAGGGTAGACAACCATGCTCCCTTTTCCAAGGCAGGAATAATCATGGCAAGGGTTACCATCTTGAATCGTTGGTAACATATAAGTGGTTGAATTTGTGGAGGTCTAATATCAGCCTCCATCCTCCCAATTTCTCGGTGGTGAGGAAGTAATAGGAGTAGAAACCTTTGCCTCTATGCAACTTTGGTACCTCTTTTATGGCACTGAGCCCTAGAAGGTGTTCTGCCTCTTGTATGAACACGTTTGTGAGAGGGGTCCCTGAAGAGGGATGGGCAAGGGAAGGGGGATAACTAAAAACAGGATGCAGTAACCAGTTTTTATGATTTCCAGCACCCACCTATCAGTGGTGATGGTATACCAGGCTGTATAGAATGCAACTAGTCTATTGCCAAACGTAGAGGGTTTGAATTGCTGCCGTGGAAATTTTGGGGTCGTCAGACCCTCAACCAGGACTTCAAAATTCTTGTTGGGCTGCTGGTATGTTGGTATGTTGTCTGCTCGGAGGCCTGACTGCATCTGTTTTGGCGCAGTCAATGTCTATTGACATAGTGTTGTGGTTGTTAGTTAAAGGATGTGGGTCTGTACCTCTGTGTGAATGACCTGCCCTGTTTTCTTTTTATGACAGGTATGTGGATGCCAAGAGTCTTTAATGTGGCCCGTGAGTCCTTTAGGATGTGTAAGGAGGTGTTTGTGGATTCAGCAAAGAACTTGGTACCCTTGAATGGCAAGTCTTTGACTGTTGCTTGGACTTCTCTCAGGAATCCTGAGAGCTGAAGCCACAATGCTGGCCTCATTACCGTGGCAGAGGCTAAGGATCTGGCCACTGTGTCTGCAGAATCCAGTGCAGCCTGTAAGATCATCCTAGAAATTAGTGCCCCTTCATTAACATTTGACTTGAACTGATCCCTTTTGTTATCTGGGAGGGATTCGATAAAAGATGCTAATTGATCAAAAATGCGGTGTATGTATTTTGCTAGCAGTGCCGAGTAATTGGCTATTCTGAGCTGGAGACTTGCAGATGAGTATACTTTTCTCCCCATTGTGTCCAGCTTCTTCCAGTCCCTGTCATAGCTTGTTTCCATCTTTGATTTATGGCCTCCACCATGAGGGAATTTGGGACTAGGTGGGAGAACTGGAAGTCCGCTCCTTTAGGGGCTACGTAGTATTTTCAATCTGACTTCTTGCAGGTCGGCGATATTGTGGAGGTATCTGCCAGATATTTTTGGCAGGATCCATGAAAGCCTCATGCATGTGGAGATGCATGTAATGTGTTCCTCAGCTTATATTGTGTCTCTGGCACAGATGACAGGGAAATCTCCAGTGTGTCTGCAAGCCTTTTAAAAAGTTCTTGGAACGATCTCAAATCATTCCCAGAAGTCAGTGATGAGGGCATGATTTTATCATCGGAGACAATGATGAGATGTGTGTGGATGGAGCTGAGCAAGGTGTCTGTTCCTTGCACGTGATGTCCATGTCCTCCTCTTCTGCATCTGAACTGTCAATCTGGAGACTATACTGTTGGTGCATGAGATTTTGGCGCTGGAGATGGCTATTGTGGTTGCTGCATCTGCTGTATTCTGTATGCTGCCTGTGAGTGCCAGTATGGCCAATTGGGAGTGATAGGTGTCGGGAGCCACTGCGGTAGTTGCCATTGTTGTATCTGTTGATTACGCTTGGGTGAAGAGTGTCTCGGTAAATTCAGAGGGCACATCATCATCATCACTGAATACTGGGACCGCTGATGTGGCCGGGTTGGATGAGAAACTATACCTGGATGTGTCAGGGGTATCATCAGCGCCAAATAAGGGTGTTCCCAGTACTTATGTAACAGAGAGCTCCACCGCTGATGTAAATTGCAGTACCGGCAGAGGAGGGTGCAGTATGGGAATCGGCAGGGCTCATGGTGTCTGCAGCAGCATTTGATTTAGTGCCTGCTGCTTTTTGCGTGTCGTCAGCGCCAAGTGTTTTACGGGTGCCGATGCTGCTGCTGAGGGCAGACTGGTGCCGCTCATTGCCACTTCCAAACGTGGCTTGTGTGCGCCACAGACAGTGACAACAGCGTTTTGATTAGTACCAGAACAGAGGCTTTGCGTTTCACCTCTGCCAGTGACTTTGATGAGGCATGAGCCTTATGCTTGGGGTTGCGGCTTTTACTGCTACCAGCCCCATTGCGAGATTGCTTGCCCGACAGTTTTTTCATTGAGGGTGCGGGGAAAGTACTCTTGTGGAGAGAATGCTTCCTCAAGGGAGAGTCTGTCCCTGAGAAGAAATAGGACCTCTTTTTTGGCTTCTGAGCCTTTTCCTGGTCCTTCAGGCTCAACCTAGCGGGAGCCCCTCTCACCAATAACATCCCAGGGGATAGTTGCCTGGGCGGGGTGGTGTACTCAGGGTCTGAAGCTGCACGAGCCTTTTTCTCCATTTGAATAATTTTTAATTATGATTTTCTGGCTTTTCTTGTTCAAGATATAAATTTTTTGCAGTGAGGGCAATGTTCCATGGAGTGCTCCTCACCCAACTGTTCATGTCTGTCAGAAATAAAAATGGACAGCCTGTAGTTCATTCACCTTTTAAAACTGGGCAAGCCAGGCATGTCCCAGGGACAGCAAGGTTTCAGCAGGTGTTGATATCACTGCAAATTTAATTCTTTAAACTACTTCTGATCTACTATCCAACATGAAGAGAATTTTTTTTAAACTATCATTATGGAGATTAAAATAGACTAATAACTATTAAATTCTATAGTAACAAATGTCTAACTATCTAAACTATGTAACTTATCAGTGAGGTAAAAGGGCGATTACTGAGCTGCAACCGAAGCCAGAGGCAATTGAGAAGGAAGTGAGCGGGCGGGAGGGGGAGGGGCCACACTCACAAAGGGGAAGAAGAGGCCGCTGGGCTAAGCCTCACCAGCCATGGCTACTAATAACTATTAAATTCTATAGTAACAAATGTCTAACTATCTAAACTATGTAACTTATCAGTGAGGTAAAAGGGCGATTACTGAGCTGCAACCGAAGCCAGAGGCAATTGAGAAGGAAGTGAGCGGGCGGGAGGGGGAGGGGCCACACTCACAAAGGGGAAGAAGAGGCCGCTGGGCTAAGCCTCACCAGCCATGGCTGCC